TCTGCATCATCAATAAAATGTTAATTCCATTAAATATTTGTGCATTTTAGATCAAGAAGTTAACTTCCTCATAGGATTTTGAATTGAACGAAATAGTGTCGTTAAATTTTAGTTCACTGAAAGGTTATTTTCCTGAATGTTTCACAAGCAAAATTAAACTTTCAGCTATAGAGAATGAATAGAAGGCAAATGTTTTCTGTTATATATCCAGATTTTATTATCAGAAATTAAAACATCAGCTCTTTTCCAATTAATATTCCTAGTTATGTGTCATTTGAAATTTGAGCCAGAACCAGCAAAACAACAAGAATGTGTAAATAAAGTTTTATTTCGTTGGAAGGATTATGGAGCTTGTTCTTAGTAGGCTGACAAGATAGTTCTGCAAGTACAAAGTCCAGGATACTTGAGATAATTTGTAGATTAAATGTTCAGTCTTTTTTCAAGAGCTTAAGAGAATCCGTATCTCCAGATCTTGGGTCTTCTTGTCATGGTTGCTTATGGAAAAGACTGACAAAATAAATTCTTGCAGTGTAGTACCTAGAGTTTACAAAACCCTTATAAAATGCTCTCTAAAACTGTTGATACTAAATTTGTTTGTGTTTTGAAGTGGCAGGGAAATTGTTGGATGAACTCATATTTTGTTAAATGAATCTCAAGCATGCAATACTTTCCCTTTAAAGAAACTCATATATTCATAGCTCCTAACGGCCTTTATTCAAGCAATGTGTTTATATTACTTGCTAAGACACTGACTTTAATAATCTGTTTTCTCTCACATGGTGTCTGGTTTGACGGATCACTGTACCTTCCCTTAGAAATATCCTTTACTAATGTTATCTTGATGGAGGGGGGAATAGAGTTTCAAGTAAAATGAAATAGTGAAACTTTCTTATTGGACCTCCAGTAATTAGGAGGCTAAGAGTGCACAATAGTAATAGTCTCTCTCAAATGTAATACAGAGAGGGCTTAAAATTCTTTAAAGTAGACCCTGTTTAGAGGTGTTGATATGTTTATAATAAAGCTAGTATATTGCAAAGTGTCAGATTTTTTTAAGCTAGCATGGCTGGTTTGTTCATTGTTACTATTGGGAATTACCATCCTGGAGACCTAAATCTGTGTGTTATGCAGTGAGTGGATGACTTCTGGCACCTGAGTCACCTGATAGCATCTTTGCTTGCCTCAAAAGACTTAGTCATGGATTCTGCAAAAAAATGCAAATAGTTCCATTATATTTGGTAGGAATATGTATTGCTTGCATGTAGGGCTTCCAGGATCTGTGTGTACTAGTGCACTATCATTTTTTCTTCTTTTATGAAGAAAGGGGCTTTTTAATCACCAGTGAGAAATAGTTTTCTTTCGGGAACTGGAATCTGTTATTTGTAAAGGAGGCCTTTTAGTCACTGAAGATGTAAAGCCAACACTGTCTTCTAATTGGTTAAATTGTATAGATCTCAGTGTGGTTTGCAACCCCACAGCAGCACATCCAAGCTAATGTATAGTAGCCAAGCACATTGCCCATAGGCTGTGTGTTTGTGTAGGAATGTTAGCCCCTGTGAAGGAGCTCCCACAGGCTATGTCAAGACTGCACCCTCCTTGTCTTGGAGTTGTCCAGATCAGAGACTTTGCTGGAAAGCACCACGTCTCCTAGATTTCCTTCCCATGTAACTTGGAGTGTAGCCATGTTTGTTGGGTGGGCATTACTGGAGTGTTACCAGCAACAGCAAGGTCTGTTTTGGTTTTCAGCAGCCTGTTTTCCCTTACTAAGTTTTCCATGATGTGATATTTGGAAATGTTTCATAGGTCATCATCTTGCAGTTTTGTCTTTGCTGCCATACCTCTCTGTAAACAGTGTTTTGAAGTGTTTTTGTATTGTTCTGCTCCATATTACTTAGAGAATGGAAGTATGCTGTAGTTAGAGCAATATTTTTAACATTTGAAATAAAACATAAAGCTCAATGTGAGTGTTCTATAAGTAAAATATTTTATTTTTAGAAAAATCACTATGTAAACAAAATATAGAGCTTAATCATATCTAAGTTGGTCAATGGTCTTCCTGAGCATGCAATAAATCTTCTGCCTAGTATTTTGAGGCTTGGTTTCTACTTGTCTCTTGAAGATTAGGGTTTTTTTCAATCGATAAATAAGTCGTATACATAGAGGCAAAATGCATGTTTTATAAATACAGATTATACTAAAATATAAGCTATATTTTAAAAAATGTGTATATAAATATATATTATTCAATACTTTAGAATTGTGTATCTCAAAAAAAAAAGTGTTCTTTTATTAATGCTGCTTTTAAAGTTAGTCTGATGCTGGTTTAAAAATACTGTTCTTAAGTGAGTCTTGTTTATTGCTTTGTATAGTTCCAAACAGAATTGTATTTTCACTGTGGTGGTTATAAAGTTTGGAAATGGGAAATGATGTATTTTTAATATAAACTTTTTAACACTCTTCTCTTGAGTTTTTTTTCACTGCTGCTACCTCTTTTCCCTCTTCCCTTTCAGGTATAAGCACATTCTGATGGCTCCGGACCCAGTACCGATGTATGCTCTGAAACTGTTGGTGGCCCTGACTGAACACAGCCCTGCTTCTGTGAGGTGATACAACTAAACATTCTCTATTATTCTGGGTTCTTTCTGTTTCCATTGATTTTTTTTTTTTTTTTTTTTTTTTTCCCTTTTAGGAACTAAAAATAAATTAGATTCTACTATCATGCTGCTTTGAGTAGTACTTAGGAGATTATTTGTTATAGAACACACTCTTAGATATTTTGTGCCAATTGTATATGGCTTATAACCAGCTTCTGGTTATTTTAATATGGATTTAGCTAATGAAAACACTGGAGACAAAATTGTCAGGATTTTAACATTAAAAATATCATTTAAAACTTAATGTGGTGGTTTTTTTGTGGGTGTTTGTTTTTTTTATCAAAGCTGTTGCCAGCTAAGCATATTTGTGCTAGGGCAAAGGTGATATGTTTGTAAAAGGTTTAGACCAGTGAATTCACTTTAAAGCTGTTCAGCTTTTCTGCAAATATAGCTCCTAAATATGGATTTTGATGTTTGGTATAGGTACACTCAGTATGTTTAAAAGTATCTTAATGTCTCTTTCTTCTTGTTCCAAAGTTTAGGCTGTGATGGACGAAAAAAGAATAAAAGCCTACTAAAAGGCAAAAAAAACCCCCCAAATCCCCAACCAAAAAACATTGACATAGAACTTAAACATTTATTGATAATAATAAGGAAGCATCTCTCTCATGCATGTGTGTACACACAGAGATATTCCTCTTCCTGGATTTACCCAGTGAATTAGGTTATTCTTTCGCTCGCCATTGGTTGTTCATGGTGTCTGAGAAGGTTATGGATAAGAAGTTGCTGCATACCATACTGTCTTGCTTTGATTGATTGGTTGAAACGAGCACAAGACTACAAAAAGGAAAAGGAAGGAAATTTAATTTGTTTTCCTGCTGTTTTTATTACAAAAGATGGAAACATCCTGTTTTAGTCTTTTATGATGCTACTGTGAACAGTGCTTTAGTATACTAAGTAGACTAAAACTGAACTAGAAAATAGAGTGGCTTGATATTTTAAATAGTTCGAACACAGTAAATGTACATAATTATATTTTCATTGTATAGAAGCTGTTTATGCTACTGCAGGATTTTATGTATTACACAAATAGTACAGCTTTCTATTTTTAGAATTAACCTACAGATATTCTAATACTTTAAGAGTTATAAAAAAATACTTTTGTAACTAGAATCCTGGATATTATAGCAGCAGTTTGCCTAATGAATTCTCTTTATTTGAGGAATTGTGTGTATTTGCCATTATGCTCAGTGTAGGTAGATTTTGGATGCACACTCAGCCTCCTGGTCATCTTACAGCAGACAGCAATTCTTTTCTTAATATTGTTGAAGAGCAGCTGTGGCTATCCAATGAACTATTCATAATTTTAAATAACAGTGTGTCTGGTACAGTTACTTAAGGATGGGCTACTGGATTCCAGATACTAACACATCTGTAATTGTTCTGTTTCTCACATGTGTTATCGGTCCTCTTTTGCTTTCACTAAATAATTTTTTGGGCTAGATTTCTGAAGGAGCAGAGTTTATACAGTTCTCTTAATCTGTTTTGTTCCTGATTCTTTGGCTTACCAAATAACTTCAGCTGGGAGTAGCTGGTTCATCAAAAGCATGACAGAGGTGGATAATGTATTCATATTTACACAAACTGCTAGTGAACAAAACAGGAAACAGGTGCATGCTATAGTGAACAGAAGATCACAATTGGTTCTGTTTTGGTTTGATGGCTAATTAATCAATATGCATGGAGCTCAGAATCACTCAAGGCATATGCTCTCATTTGCTGCTTTCATTAGGCACATGGAAAGTGCAATTACTGTGATAGGAAGTAAATAAGTAACATTGGACACAAATCCTTTGGGATTCAATTTGTTTTTTGTGGAAAAACTCTACTGTATTTTAGTACTGATGACAGTGATGTGAGTCACTCTTCATTGAGTCTCTGTGGCTTCTCCAAGCTTACATTTCATCCACAATGCCTGCTTTTCAAGGTTGGATGCTTTTGCCTGTGACTTGCTTTAAATGAATAAAAATAGAGCTAACAAAAAGATTGTAAAATGTCAAAATGTTAAATTAGTATTTACCTGATTGTTTTCATATCTTTCAAAAAGAGCTGTTATATTAACCTTATTTTGAAATAAAAAGTGAATTAGGAGGAGGGTGAGGGCTACTGTGTTTTAATTAGTTTGTTCCATATGATTGCTTGTTCTGAAACATGTTCACCTAATGCATTCGCTCTGTCTTGTTCCATCTTTTCTTTCATCCCATCATTTCTCTGGTCTCACACTTATCTTTCTTCTTACTGTCTCCTCAGTCTTTTCTTGTATGCTTCCTGATAGAGGCATCAGCATTTGAGCAGTTCTTATTTTAGTACTTGAGACAGATGCACTCCAATCTTTTCTTTCATTTTTTTGCATAGTTGATACAATAAATCAGCTAACCTGTGATATCAGAGCAAAAACACTCAATCCTCTTTTTACTGTCTTTTGACACTTGTGTTTTCTGTTACAGGTATCTTGTTCTGTATGGCAGAAGCACAGACACTCAAATACTATTTTATTTTTCATGTCTTATAAGCTTATGATAAAATACTGCTGAGGAACGATGCATATTTTGAATGACTTTAATAATTAATATTTTGTAAGAATACAAAAAAAATACATCGTAATCTTTGCCATTGCTCCACTGTTGAGGTAATTTTTAACATTCTATATTATGGGAGCTTTTCCACTCTATTGCTTTTTAATTTAGCAGTGAAGAATTCCAGTGATATCCCGTTAATGTGCTGCAGAATTAGATCTCTTGCAAACATAAGTTCCAGCAAGAGTAAGATGGTAGTTGTAAAATAAAACCTTTTGTATGTTTCTATGATCATGTGTATTTGGACACCTGATCATATGAACATCCACAGGAAGAATGAGTATAAATGAGCTGGGTGTTTCCCTTATATACCTGTTTTTACATCATGCAAGCATTGCGGTCTGGTACAACCTCACTTGTTTACTAGAGAAAATAGCAGATATTGTAAAGATGAGCTTTAAACAGAATTTGTCCATCGGTTGCATATTTTATACTTGGCTCAAAGCTAATGGAGTGGCTTTAAGGGTGTTCATAGTATTCTGTGGTGGCTCTCCTAGATACCTCTTGCCTTGTTTTTGTCAAGTGTGAGAATTAATAGTAGAGTTCATTTTTAGCTATTTTGAGGCAGATGATTTTTGAAAGAAATCACTGATGTTAGGGAAACATGTAGCTTCAGTTAATGATTAATCTTTGGACTACTGGAAATTTACATTAGGATTTTTTTCACCTTTGTTAATTACTCTTGATGGATTGTACTTGTGTAATTTGTTGCTGGAGGAACTGAACTTCTCAGTGGGAGCAAATGTTTGCAGCAGGGCAAGATCCGATTTAATTGTGCCGAGTCTGTACTCAGAAAAAGCAGTATGAGAAGCTACCTTATCCTTTGTGTGTTTATCAACTTAATGTATAGCTTCTGTGTATGGGTAGAAGATCGGACATAATCTATTTGTTAAGGTTTGGGGTGGTTTTGGTTCCTGTTTTGAGTCTTGTATACTGTTTTGTTGTAGTCTCTAGTGATTAGATTGCTAGATTTTTCTAGTAATACAGAGTTGATGTGAATTTCTTAGTTTCTGTTAATATGGTATATTGATTAGATCTTCTTAAATGTTTTGACTGTTGTAAGCTATTTTATACTGTGCTACTCCAGGAAACTTACACTGGATCATGATTCTTAACTTATAAGATTATGAAATGTAGCTACGTATTTTGCTGTGTGCTTTTTTATGCAGCTACTTAACTTACCTTTAGTCAGAAACTTACAGCATTTGATGACATTAATATATCTGAAAGGTAAGCACTTGAAACTATGGAGCCTAGTTTTTATGGGTTGCTAAAATAGACAATGATATATGGATTGACATTGTATACCACAACAGATTCTCTCAACTAATTAAAGTATCACTTTATCACAGTATCTTTGGAATTGTCCAAGAATGGTCCAATTTTCAGACTTCCTTATGTTACTGTTCATACCCATGTGTTATCTGTAAAGACCATTAAAGGCATATTTTAGGGTTGGTGTTAGTAATGAACTGATCCTCTGCTGATACATCATGATGTTCTACATTAGCATTTGTTTACATTTCAGTATATTCTGAAACAGCCTATCCAGTACCCATGGCCTGGATTTCAAAAAAATCCCAAGAGTGAAAAAAAAACAACAAACCAACAACAACAACAACAAAACCAACCCAAAATCTTTGGAGTTCAATGTGGCACTTTTAATTGGTTTCTGGTGGTAGAATTGTGATTCAGTTCACAAGCACTTGTTAGCATTGTGCATAGATTATCTTTGAACCTGCTGTAGGTTTTTTGCCGTTATACTAGAGAGCTAGCACTTCAGTGCTTTCCTTTCCTGGTGAATTGATTAATGTGGGCTTATATTAATTATTTTAAAAACACTTCGTTCTTCTCATTAGTCATTTTAATTTGCTAGTTTGGGATTGAAGTGCTCACTTTAAAAAGTAGATCTGTTTGCTTCTAAATTCTCTGGTTTTTATGTGTTTTCATGTTCTCTTGTTTTCTGTAATGAAATAATATGGAATAGTTCTGAGAACAGGTAAGCCTATAGAGCCTAGTCCAACTGAACTGAACAGTAGAGCTACATGTTAGAGCTGTACACCATCAGTGAGAAAATCACAGTGCAGATGGGTTATGAGAGATTGTCAGAGGATGGTAGAGTTTTATTAGAAATTTGGGGAATATTTATGTAGATGTTGAACCTGATTCTGATTACAGTAGTTTCACATTTGTGAAAACTGTGTTGTAAACCCCCTGTTTTTTCCTGTTAGAGAAGTAATACCAATATAAAACAGCAAAGAATTCGTATGACCTTTGCTATTCCTATTATTTGGTATAATATTTGCATATATGCTGCTTTATTGAATAACACCAGGCAGGAAGAGTTGCCCAGAAACAGACTCTTGAAATGTT